GGACCTCACCGTGCCATGGGTGGGGCCCAGCTGCAGAGCTTCAAGCTGCTTGTCTCACCTGGCTGGTCGCAGCTTCTGTTTTTTCATTGACTTGGAACAGTCTCACGTTATTCTTTGCATCATCTACTAGCTGCTGGGATGATATCTTGTGGTCCCTTACTATTTTTAAGAAATTTTTCTTTTCCTGGTCACTAATTGCAATCCTATCTTCATCTGAAATTCTGTCCTCATATTGGCTCATTCTGCTGTGTAAACTTACAATGGAATTTTTAATCTCCTGGATATCTGTTTGCATCTGTTTTATGGATTCCATTTGTTTCCTATGTTGGGATTCCAGCGTGTTCCTCAGCTTCTCTATTTATTTTATCTGTGTCTTCTCCAGAGTTATTAATCATGGCTTGCACTATGGACATAATCTCTGTTGTTATATGAGAAACTATTTCCGATTTCATTTTTCAGATCCTCTTTTGTTGCCAGTTCAGGTAGTCCAGGTGATTGAGTATCAGATTTCGCCATCTCATTGCCCTGTGGGGTTACCTTAGGTGATCTGGAAGTCTGGTTTTGAGACTTGTTTATGTGTCTTCTCATTTCAGCAGATGAACCCTGCTGCTCCTTTGTTGAGGTGACTTTTTGCTCACCCAGTGGTCTTCAATTCTCAGCAAGCCACAGAGTGGCCTTTTCTCTATTGCTCACCACTGTGCCAATTGCTGGGTTCAGAATGGTGGCCTTCTGGATCCCTGTGCTGCCCTGTTGTCTCCGTGGGGCTCTGGCTGGGCCCTATGAACACTTGGGATAGTATCTGGGTGTTCCTCTGGCTGGGGCCTACACCCCTGCATAGCTGTTGTCTTGGAGGGCCTTTGGCTGGGGCTGTGCACCTGAGCCACTGGTGTCTGAGTGGCCTTCTGGCTGGGGTCTCCACACACTGATGGAATCTGGGTGGGCCTCTGGCTGTTGCTTGTGACCCTGTGCAGTTCTTTTCCAGGCGGGCCTTTGGGACCTGTGGGCCCAAGCTACTGGAGTTGGGGCAGGGCCCTGGCTGGGACCTGCCTGCACCTATGCTGCTGTGGTCCACACCAGCTTCTCATTAAGATCTGCATGCACTTACCAATGGTATGGTGGTGGGCCTCTGGCTATTGCTTGTGTGCCTGTGCAGCTCTTTTCCAGGTGGGCCTTTGGCTGGGGCCCATGGGCCCAAGCTGCTGGGGTTGGGGCAGGGCCCTGGCTGGGACCTGCCTGAAACTGCACTGCTCTCAACCCAGGAGAGTTCTAAAGAGTGAATTGGAGTCCATGAGGAGACCAAGGTGATGGACCTTAAGATAGAAGGGGGAGGTGGCAAACTGCACTTTCTCCCTGACCTCCAGTTCATTGGCAAACTGTGCATTGTCTCTGACTCCTGGCTCACATTGTAAGAGAGGAGAGGAGCCTACGGAGGTGTCGTGATGGCAGGCGACCCTGGAGACCTCCAGGGAGAAACATAACAGTGGAGTGGAATAGTGGAGATGGTGGGCTTCACTGGCTGGTGAGTGATTCCATTCCAAACATCCCCAGGAGAGGGTGATTGACTGAACACCATTTTGGGGTGGGGCCAGCTGAACCCAGGACTCAGAGTAGCTGTGGGTTGGCTCCTTCTCAGGGCTACTGGTGTCTGGGTTTGGAGAGCCAAGATCAGGCTGGCAAGAAACACCCATACTGTTGTGGGCTGAACAACTCAGGTCACAGACCCAAAACCAGAGACCAGGATCACCCTGAACTGTGGAGTTGAACAGCACCGCACCCTATTATGATTGTAGGCTTCTTGGGATTATGTAGCACTGCACCCTGATTCTACTTCAGGCTATCTGGGATCATACAGTACAGATCTGGGCTCTGTCTGCCTCCTTTGTCCACCAGTGACAGCAGAGACATGCTTTGAAGTGGATACTACCACAAAACTCTAGATCCCAGAAGATAACCACAGCCCTGAAATCATAGAGAATCTCTTTTTTATTTGTTGGTTTTGTTGTTGTTGTTGTTGTTCTTTTGATTATATATTGTTTTTTCATGAGTGTGAATGCTGTTTTTAGGATTTTTGGTTTTTAGTTCTTGTTTTTGTTTCTTCCTCTTTGTTTCCCTTCCTGTCCTCCTCACCACTCTCCAAAAGCTTAGGTAATCCTCCTTTGTCCTTCAACCCTGCTTCTAATCTCATTCTCTACTTCTATTTCTCTATTCTTTTCCTTCTGTCACTTTTCAATTTTCTCAACAGAGGGTAAAATTGCTCAATTGAGTATTTATTGTGTATAAACTTCTGGGGTTTTTTACATTTTGTTATATAACTATAAATCTTAATTGTCAGGTTGATTGCCTGACCATTTGCCAAGGGACCCTTGGTTGCCTAGATGAAGGTACAGCAGGGAATGAAAGAATAATATAAAAAGAACAAGTAATAAAGAATAACAGATGATAGTTTATCACTTGAGGGACTGGGAATGGATTTTAGCTCTCTCCTGGCTAAAGCCCATGAGTACTGAATTAATAAGTCTTTATGATTACATAACTTAGCAAGGGGGCATGAAGGCAGATGTAAGGAATAGCAGAACTAATGCACTAATGAGCCAGGCTGTAAAAGGGGAGCAACTATGTATTCTTGTGAAGGGCAGGTCACAGTTATTAAGAAGCCACCTGTGCTATCTTGTAGGTCATAGCTAACAAGCCACCTGTTATCTTTAGCTAACGTTTGATCTTGGAGAATGGTTGCATAGTCATAATTCCTCAGCTGCAGTGTTTCCTTGCTATTAGAGATTTTATAACCTCATCAATCATTGAGACCTCAGTTGTGACCATTACCATAGGGAAGTCTATCTCCATACACTAGCCAAAAGATCAATTAGCAAATCACACTTAGGCCTGGGAGTGACTTGTAGTTTTAATCAATAGCTGAATTATAAGGCAAATCAATAATATCTAAAGCCTTCTCAGTGTCATTTCAAGCTGGTCTCCTGGACTTCTTCATATGGTTAAAGGTTCCAAATTAATAGTTACCACAGTTTATCATTTTCTAGGTTGTACTAGACCCTATTGTTATTACTGATTATACCACTTTAGCCAAGGTGACATCATTGTTCTATTAAGTTATAATTTCTTGTATGCCAAGACTGAAGTTTTCTGAGGGTCATAAACAATACTGCGATCCAGTACCAAAGAACCAGGGCCCAGGCCATATAGGAAGGAACTTCTCTTCAATAAATTGAAGAGGTAAGGTCTTGCAACAGACTCAAAACCCAAAATCCAGCTACACCTAGAAGACATCTCTGAAAAGTAGTCATTTACTAAGGAATCCTTAATATGAATGATGAAGGTATCTACAATAAGACAATTTGCAAATTGCTACCATAAGCAATTTACAAGCATCAATGCAGAGAATAAATTTTTTTAAAAAGAAAGTGAGAACACACAAAAGTAAGATACAACCCCAGATGTCCAACTGGCACAAGGTATCCTAGGAGGCAGGGAGATGGAACAAATTAAAAGCTACCCACCTGAACACTCTGAAATCATAACAGTGTAAGTAACAAGGCATACAAATGAGGTTCTAGAAAAAAATCAGTTTCTCAGATAACTAAAGGGATGATGACCATAATGAAGGGCATGATTAGAGAATCTAGAGAAGGCGCAGGTAAAAACTAGAGGAGCTGAGTAAATTGATGGAAACCATGAATCCCCAGCATAGGGAAAAAAATGGAATCCATGCAACAGATCCAGTCATATCCAGGAGATTAAAAATTCTGCTGAAGTAAGGAAACTGCAAGAATTCCCTAAACACATGGAAATTGAACAACACATTTCTGAATAACCAATGGGTCACAGAGGAAATTAAAGAAGAAATCAGAAGTTCTACAATTAAATAATGTCAGTACAACATATCAGAATCTGTAGGTCACGATGAAAGCAGTCTTATGAGGGAAATTCATAGCAGTGAATACTCATATTAGGAAAACAGACCATGCTCAATTTTCAACATCCTGGTGCTGAACTTGTGATGCCCTTGGGCCATCTTTTCTATTCTCTTCCTTCTCAACAATCAAGATCTCCTCTACTCTATTTTTGCAGTCCACAGCTTTACTGGAGCTTCCTTTCTGGCCAAACTCAAAATGTTTTAAATCATTCTGCTGGTCTCTTTGGTCTTGATTCTCAACATAGATCTGGCTAAAAGCTCCTAATAGCAGTTATGCCATGGCCTCAACATTAGACTGCCTTGAAATTTCTTCTGCAAGATTAATTAATCCACCACCCTTAATCTCAGTCTCAGGCAAAGTCTCTAGACATGAGCAAAATGCAGACAAACCTTCTGCCCAGGCATAACTCACATAGTCTGGAGTCCAATGACCAATGCAGTCCTTCCCAGCAGAAACCTCCTGAGTCTGGTCTTCACTGGCTTTCTGGCCTTCTGAGCTCTGATCAGAACTTCCCACACAGAACAGCCTAAAGCATTCTAGCTCTGTTTCTACAGCCAGCATCTCTGAACCTTTCCTAAGTCTTCCCCTTTCCATAAGCCAGTTTCAAAGGCTCTTGAGCCACATGGCCAGGTAATGTCACAGCAACGGTTCCACTCCTGGTACCAAATTTCTGTGTTAGTTACCTTTCTCTCATTGCTGAGACAAAATAGTCAACACCCAAAGTTTGCTGTTGCTTTAGCAATGAGTGGCAATCTAGCATCAGAATTACTGTCTGAAAAAATGTGTGTACACATAGATTTGATGACCAGGACATGGAGTTAATATTTGAAGGATTCAGCCCCCATTTTAGCTTCTTTGTTTTGTTTTCTTCTTTTTTTCCCCAAGGCTGGCCTTGAACTCTGTGTAGTCCACATTAGTCTTGAACTCTGCCTTAACCTCCTGAGTAATGGAATTACAGACATGCACCACCATACCTGGCTCTCTATTCAACTTTCTATGAGAGGAATTGAGATGTCCCAGGCTGTGAGTGTCAACTTTCCTTAAAAAAATATATGTGTGATCATTTAGGAGGCAGTGACCTTTGAGGATGTGGCTGTGAACTTCACCATGGAGGAGTGGGTTTTGCTGAATCCATCCCAAAAGAAGCTCTACAGAGATGTGATGGAGGAAACCTTTAGGAACATAGTTGCTATAGGTAAGAATGACACCGCTTTCTCATTTATACAATCAGAGAACATTGTTTGGTGCTCATCAGTGCAGTTTCATTAAACAGAATGTGAAAACATTTTGAAGAATAGCTCAGACCTGATTACATTGTACCATGAATCTAACTGGAATCTATGGATTTTATGTAATAATACAGTGTCTCATTTTTATATCTCTCAGGAAGAGCCTGGGATAACCAGGAAGTTGAAGAAGATTACAAAAATTACTGGAGAAATCTAAGGTAATTTGCACTCAAAAGAAAAAGGAATTTCCTCAAGAATTAGTATGTAAACAAAAATACAACCAGGGAATGTGGCCATGTTCAAATTTATTTAATTTCACAAATATTCTCCAATGATGTATATAGTTTTAGCATGTATAATCTCACAACTGAATACAGAAATATTCCAATATAGGAAGCTGAGTTTGTATTGATATCGTGCAACATGTGAGACTTATATATAAATATAAAAAATATTGTTTCATGATCATGTTCATGAAAATATATGAAATTGCATTTAGATATTATGTACAGGTGTATATGAAAGGAAACGAATTTTGAATTTTGACAGAAACCCATCTTCAGGATGTCTATTTATGTACACATGTGAATATGAGACATTTAGTACCTAAAAGTTGCTAACCTTGAAGCAGTGTTCACAGTACAAATGAATGAATGCCAGTATGGTCATAACAAGTGTTTTCAAGCCATCCTTCACAGAATTGGGTCTATTCATGTTTTAAAATTAGTAAAAAGGCACCCTCCATCATTATAGTTGGGAATGTTAAGTATAGCCACTGTGATAATAAGCATAAAGAGATCTCAAAAAGCAAAAGATCCTTTTGATCTAGGAATACCTCTCCTGGTAATGATGATACAATATACCACAATTTATGGGACCTAATGAAAGTAGACCTAAGAGGGAAATTTATAGTGATGAACTCTCACATCAGGAAAACAGCAAGCTCAGAGTGCACAGGTAGGGGCTTCCGGGCCACCATTCCACTGCTCCCAGAACAGAGGAAGGAGCTTCTGGGACACCATACCACTGCTCCCAGTGCAGAAGAAGGGGCTTCCGGGCCGCCTTACCACCACTCCCAGCACAGAGGTAGGGACTTCCAGGCCACTGTACCACCACTGCCAGTGCAGAGGAAGGGCCTTCTGGGCTACCATTCCACTATGCCTAGTGCAAAGGAAGGGGCTTCTGGGCTGCTATACCACTGCTCCCAGTGCAGAGGAGGTGAACCACATGGGTGCCAACAGCACACACACACCCTGCCTCATCGAAATGAGAAGACACATAAGTCACAAAACCAGACTTTCAGATCACCTATGGGAACCCCAAAGGGAAATGAGATGGAACACT